CCCCCCCCGCCCTGAGCCTGGCCCTTACAGGCACCTGTCAATCTGCAGCACAGCAGCTCATCTTCAACAAGTCAAACGGTCCCTTGAATGGCTTATGAAATCTGAATGTGGGTCGGCATTTTGGGTAATGCTGCCACCCTTTGGATTCCCTTTAGCTCCCTTTCACTGGATGGGATGTGCTCAGCACTAAAGCTGCCACAAAATTATGGGTATGTAGCATTTTCTCAGGAAAGCCAAATTCGGAGATCCTCAAGTCAAGGACTCCAAAACTAAGGTACCACAAGTGGCTCTCTAGATTTGTGTCTAGCGCATGCAGAAATTCTTATCCACTTCCTACCTTTTTGGGTTTCCCAGTCACACCATCCTCTCCTGAACTTTCCAATTCTCTCCTCCGTGGCTCCTGTGCTACCCCTGTCTCCTGCTTCCCACATTCAGGTACTTCTCCCACTTATGGAGCATGTCCTCATCCTGACCCTACTAGTTTCTTCACTCACTTGGAGGAGAGTGGCCCCCAGTATCAAAGTCAGTATACTTTTCAAAACCTTACTGGGACTGGATCCTGCCCAGTAAGCCCTGAAGATGGTGTCTGACTGCCTGGCTCACTGGAAGGAGCCACTGGGCAACCAGGAGAACAGCTAGAGATGCTTTGCTCATGTGACGTCTTGTAATACTCACCCATATGAACTGAAGAGACCAGAAGAAAAACAGACAATCCTTCATACCTGCAGTAATTTAGTGAACTATCAACATCTGAAATGATGTATCAACACCTTAACATTCAGCCTAGGAGGTACAACCTAACCTCACACAGGCCTGAGGCCCTGAGGTAGAATTCATCTCCCAGGAGCCAAAATATTCTACACGTAAAACAAATCCTGGTGGTCTAAAAAGAGAAATAGCCAGAAAAAAAAAAAAAAAAAAAAAAAAAAAAAAAAGTAATTGCATCACATCCACATTTGGAATGGTCATTTACATTTATGCACAGTACCAATTACAGCCAGCTTCATACCTCCCTACTTACTCATAAATCTATAAATGAAAGTGCTAAACAGAAGAGGGGAGCAGAATTAGCTCATGCCCTGAAGCTGTTAGCCATACCACTTAGAAACAGAAATTCTCCTGTTTTGTTCTCTTACCCGGAACAAACCTGTCTGCTTATTAGCACCCTTCCAGGCATCAGAGCAGCCAATTGATATGGTATCGAACGTTAATGGCCAAATTCTTTAGAGCCCTCAGTCTCTTTATCCTAGTCTGAGTGAAGGCGTAGATCCGAAATGTGACTCTCATCATCTGGCAGAATGCTAGACACACTTATGCTAGGAAAGAGGAGTCACTTCACTGAAAATGGGAAATGAAACACTGGCTTTCATATCCATGCTAACTACACTGTAAGAGGGAAGAAAATATACTAAGAAATGTAAATCTGTGTAACTGTAGATCTCAAAGAGTCAGATGGCAACAGGGTGAGTAGGGTTCAGGCCTCCAGCAATACCCATGTTTCCATCACGCTGCAGTTTCCACCTTTGCTGTGATGGACAGTGATAAGACTTCCCAGTTTTCCCAAGTTTGAAGCAACCCTGACTATTTTCTGGTGGGAAAGCATCCATCCCTGTTCTCTGAGCTGCTGTTTCCTTTCATTCTTCCATATAAAGTTCCCTCCTTTATCCTTTAGTTTCACATTTGAAGAAAAGCCAGCAAACTCAGCAGAGATGTTATCACAGAGTTACATCAGCCCTAGCACAAGGAATTCACCTGTGCACACACACACAATGTTTACACCCGCACACCTGAATGAACCGTCTCCCTGTACCATGAAGGTTGTAATTTTATAACAAAGCACTGTGTGCTTTCCAGTGCTTCCACATTGACAAAATACTACACACTCTGCCTCTACGCTAACGCTTTGGGTAGGATGCTTGTGCCACCATTAACCGATGGAGGAAGACTTACACTTCCATGATGAGCTGAAGATGAGAGTCTCATTCACTGTATCACCCAGCACCGTTCCTGGATCACTATCTTTTCTGTGTATTGAATGAGGACAGGTTTTGTTCTTGTACTTGCAAAAATAGACCGCTGTGTGACTAAAAATTGTGTCACGATACTGGAATAAAGAGAGAAGGGGAAGGGAAAGCAGGTTGTACCGAAAGCTTTCACACAAGCATTTCCTAGCTTCCAAGGACTTACCCCTGTAAACCTAAAGTGCCTTTAGTGCTGTGTTTGTCTTGGGCTTTCAAAAAACTAAAACTGAAAATAAATTCCCCAAATTTTTATCCTGCAGATAAGTAACTTTTAAACTTCTTTTAAACCTCTATTTCCAAATCCCTTCAGTATTTTCCACACAAACCTGTTTTTTCTTAGATGCCTTTCACAGAGACCCCTTAGAAGTTTTTCAGGGACTCCAGGGTTCTGTTTAGCACAGAATGAAAAACATGCTGGCCTGCCAGATGGTGATAATTTTTAGGCTCACAACACAATCCTATGTTGTGTGAGCAAATGAATGAGTGGGGCAGAAGTTAACGACAGTATGCAGACACATCACCAGCAGGAGATGGAAGACAACTATTTGCTAGGCAGCTTCGAATCACCGGCGTGTACAAACACTATGTCCAGCTGCAGGTTCTGCAGTATCAGACACAACTCCTTTGAGATGTCTGTCCACCCTTCACTTGCACTTTGTCCTCTTTTGGTTCTGTTCAATCCCTTTTGCTCCTGCACTCTGTCATTCAGTTTCCATTCCTTAATTTCTTTCTATCCTACAGTCCCTGAGGTGGTCCCAGATGTTTATCCTGCCATCCAGTACCTTGTCTCCTGCCCATGTCCCATCCTCCTGTTCCCATCTTCTATAGTTTCCCAGCCCTTTCAGTTCACTGTTCTATCCTTCCTCATTTTTCACCTCCTTCTGCTCC